AAGATAAAGAGAGAGAGAGAGAATCAAAGAAACAGAGAGAGAGAGAGAGAGAGTCGATGAAGATGACGATGAAGATGACGATGAAGATGACGATGAAGATGACGATGAAGATGATGATGAAGATGACGATGAAGATGACGATGATGAAATCAAGGGTGAAAAAGTACATAAACGAAGTTATTTTCGTTATCTCGGAGTGTTATGCATAAGGAAGTGCTAATAAACCAGACACCTGTATTAAACTCAGCTAATTATAAACACTTGTTTACAAAGTAGATACACACATACAAGCACACGCACGTACATTCACGCACACACACGCACACACACACATACATAAACATACAAAAATAAAATCCAGTAGAATTGAATCGATTTGAACCTTACCTTATCACACAATCAACCAGTTGAGTCGAAGCCCCGCATACCATTTCAACGGTTGGACTGAAAAATTTTGATTAAAATTGTGGTCAGATTGATGAAATTTTATATTTAGAATATTTCGTAGTGTGTGTGCTTGTTTGTGTGTGTGTGGGTTTTTGTGGGTGTGTGTGGGTGTATGTGTGTGTGCGTGTGCCAAAAAAAAAATAACCACAAAATGGCTAAGAGCCAATGCAAACAAGTGTATGTGAGTGTTCGTTCATAATAAGAAAAGGTCTAATTATAATGTGTGTGTATGCGTGTGCGTGTGTGTGTGTGTGTGCGTGCGTGTGTGAGTGTGTGTGTGTGCGTGTGTGAGTGTGTGTGTGAATGTAGAAGTGTGTGTGTGTGTCTACTTGCGATTATTTCATTATATAGCAAGCCTTCTAACTAAACACAAATCAGAATCATCTTAATAGAGTTTTTTTGTGTGCTTAGCCATAAACAACGGACGGAGCCAAATTTTTTAGAGCAAATGCTAGTAGCAAAAACAATGAACACCAAGCAAAACATTTTCCTATTAACACAAACGCTACACAACATACACATACATACAAACAAACAAAGAATCTGGTATTGGAGCAATGTCATCTGGTAAGCCACAAGACTCAGTTTTGGGATCTATTCTGTTTGTACTGTAAACTGCTGAAGAATATGAAGTGATAGAGTCCTTTGGATTTTTATCAAACAATCATACATACATACATACATACATACAAAAAACAAACACACATACATACACACATAAACAGACACATACATACAAACAAACACACAAACATACATGTAAACATACATGCACGTCATGACATCCTTCTATTAACACCAACATTACTGTTGTATGTATTTAATATGAATGATCACTTCAAAATTGTTGATTTAGCAAATCCCACGATACTCTTATTTAACAAAAATGTATCTATGTATGTTTGTATGTATGTATGTGTATGTGTGTGTGTATGTATGTATGTATGTATGTATGTATGTATGTATGTATGTATGTATGTATGTATGTATGTATGTATGTATGTATGTATGTATGTATGTGTGTGTGTATGAATGTAGGTAGGTAGGTAAGTATGTTTATTTTAATGTAACAAAAATAAAACCATCTATCAGCTCTGATGCATGCAATAATACATCTGTTAACTTTATACAGAGCTTCTACACAAGTGCAAGAGGTGTTGCTGGTTGTTCAGTGTACAGCTTTTTGAAGGATTTAGGTTTGGCAGGTAAAAAGACGATCGAGTTGTTTGAAGAACATAGGACATACAGCCAAACAAGCTTCTCACTGAAGATGGTTATGTCGGAAGAAAAAGGAATGCGAGTTTAAATAGTTAACAGACGAGCTCGTTTGCACGTAAGGCTTCCCATTACTCAACACTCCCAGATTCGGCTTAGCGTCTTACTTGGCTCGTCGATGTAACTCATATCGTAATATGTTCATATGTGAACTGTCTGGCACTACTACACAATTTTTCAGTATGAAAGGAGGTGATTTCAAAGCGAGGCAAATTGTTTGTTCAGCAAGAGACATCCAACTGATCTCTGCATGTGGCCCTGTTTCTCGAGAGTGTTAGGAAGCTAAAGGGCCGAAAGACTCGTTGAAGCAAACTCTTCCTCTGAAGACTCTGGCTGAACGCTCGTTATGTTCGAGTTTCTACATAAACAATCTCAATTATTCTTCAAAAATGTAATTCTTTTTGTATTTTAGATGGAGCTTTAAAACACCTGTCTGTGTGATGCCACCAACAAACACTAAGATTGAACCTAGAAAAGATTATGGCTCCATCGTAGTTTTAAATCAAATCAAAAATGGCTTCATACATACAAACATACATACACACATACATACATACATACATACATACATACATACATACATACATACATACATACATACATACATACATACATACATACATACATACATACATACATACATACATACATACATACATACATACATACATACATACATACATACATACATACATCGTATATAACCATATGCAGAAGTTTGATCTAGCGATGTTAGGCTGCAGCATGGTTTCCAGTTTAATTTTTTTTAAATTATACTTTTCTGTTAATATTTTTCTTTAAATTCAATTTTAATTAATATAAATAACTATAATTATTATGAGTGAATAAATGAATGAATGAATACATAAATGAATGATTGAATGAATGAATACATGATTGAAAGATTAACTGAACGAATGGATACATAATTTCGTTTCGTTTCGTTTCGTTTCGTTTGTTAGACTTCAAAGTTAATACCGTTAAAGTAGCTGGAATTTCGAGATGTTCTTTACTTATTGGCAATTGTAAACATCAACTAATCCTCAATTAATTATTTCATTCATTAATTTACTCATTCATTCATTTATCATTCGTTCATTCATTCGTTCGTTCATTCGTTCATTCATTCATTCATTAACCCATTCATTCATCCATTCATTCTTCTATCAGTAATCAACACAACAACATCAACAATGCTATTTATTCACAACGACGTTTAGGAACAAACAACAACAACTACTACAACAACAACAACATCAACAATCACATCAACAACATCTGTCACTAAACTCTAATTTATTCGGCAACTCAATTGAAA